GCTTGATCCCCAGTGAGGGGCGTGCAGGAGGCAGCCCACCCATGATCTCTCTCATCATGATGTTTCTCTCTCTCTCTGAAATCAATAAAAAGGTATTTTTAAAAATAAAATAAATGAAGTAAAACAGTGGTTACAACCATGGCACCTCCAGGCCAGAGAGTCCATCCTGCACGCCCCGCTGCCCCGAGCCCCCCACACTGAACACGTCTTGCACACCAAGTTCAGTGGCCTCCATCCCTCCCCGTCTGGGCCGCCGCCGTGTGTGGCTAATCATTGGCAGGTCAGGTGTGAAGAGCACGGACCGGGCCACTATTTTTAGACCCGGAAGAAGGACGGCTCTTGGGCCTGTCTGCACCCTCACCTTGGACTCCAAGTAGATGTTGGCCAAGGACATCTTAGAGATCTTGTAGAGGCAGACGGAGAGGGAGACGGCGCACAGCACGAAGAGGGTGTCGTTGATGGCCACGCGCACGGAGACGATGGCCTTCCTCTCCCAGGTCCCCGTCTTCACCAGCACCGCGCAGGTGAGGTTCACCAGCAGGAACACCAGGCTGATGAGCAGCGAGGCCAGGTACAGGGGCAGCCTGGGAGGGGGAGAGGTTAGGGCACCACAGCTGCCCGGTCTGGGCCAATCTGAAAGAACACTGGTATTTTTATGGTGGAGCAGGACGTGCCAACGTTAACCAACACTTCTGTCTGTGTGTGTTTTAATCCTCCCCCGAGGATACTTTCCCACTGATTTTTAGAGAGGAAGGGAGAGGGAGAGACAGAGAGAAACATGGATGTGGGAGAAACACATCGATTGGTTGCCTCTTGCACATGCCCCCGACCAGGGCCCAGGCAGGGGAGGAGCCTGCAACCGAGGTACCTGCCCTTTTTTTTTTTTTTTAATATATTTATTGATTTTTTTTTTTTTTACAGAGAGGAAGGGAGAGGGATAGAGAGTTAGGAACATCCATGAGAGAGAAACATCGATCAGCTGCCTCCTGCACACCCCCTACTGGGGATGTGCCCACAACCCAGGTACATGCCCTTGACCGGAATCAAACCTGGGACCCTTCAGTCCGCAGGCCGACGCTCTATCCACTGAGCCAAACCAGTTAGGGCAGAGGTACCTGCCCTGGACTGGACTCGAACCCTTTGGTCCACAGGTTGATGTTCTATCCACTGAGCCAAACCAACTAGGGCTTTTTTGTTAGATGTTTCTTTTAAATATATTTTTATTGATTTCAGAGAGGAGAGGGGAGGGAGAGAGAAACATTATGATGA